GGAGTGTCAATCTGCTCGAGGGGAGGAGGGCTCTATAGAGAGATCTGGACAGGCTGGATCGATGGGCCAAGGCCAACTGTATGAGGTTCAATAAGGTCAAGTGCTGGGTCCTGCACTTTGGTCACAACAACCCCATGCAACGCTACAGGCTTGGGGAAGAGTGGCTGGAAAGCTGCTTGGCAGAAAAAGATCTGGGGGTACTGGTTGACAGCTGATTGAATATGAGTCAGCAGTGTGCCCAGGTGGCCAAGAAGGCCAACAGCATCCTGGCTTGTATCAGGAATAGCGTGGCCAGCAGGAGCGGGGAAGTGATCATGCCCCTGTACTCATCACTGGTGAGGCCGCACCTCAAATCCCATGTTCAGTTTTTGGCCCCTCACTACAAGAAAGATGTTGTGTTGTTGGAGCATGTCCAGAGGAGAGCAAAAAGCTGGCATGAGGGGTCTGGAGCACAAGTCATATGAGGAGCAGCTGAGGGAACTGGGGTTATTTAGTCTGGAGAAGACGAGGCTGTGGGGAGACCTTATCACCCTCTACAACTGCTTGAATAGGAGGCTGTAGCAAGGTGGATGTCAGTCTCTTCTCCCAAGTAGCAAGCGATAGGGTGAGAAAAAATGGCCTCAAGTTGCATCAGGGGAGGTTTCGATTGGATATTAGGAAAAATTTTTTTACTGAAACAGTGCTCAAGCATTGGAACTGTCTTCCCAGAGAGGTGGTGGAGTCTCCATCCCTGGAGGAGTTCAAAAAACATATAGCCATGGCACTTTGGGACATAGTTTAGTAGGCTTGGTGGTGTTGGGTTTATGGTTGGACTTGATGATCTTGGAGGTCTTTTCCAACCTTAATGATTCTATGATTCTGTGATTGGTAGCATGTGACACCAACATTAAAATGCTGGCATATATTAGCTATAACCCTTTTTTTGTGAGTGATCTATTATGCTTACATTGAGTATTCACATACTCTTTTTTATTAAAATCTCTTACCACCTTTGATTCAATGCCAGATTCTTTTTATTTAGCCTTTCCCTTACAATTTTTAAAAAGCAGCTTCTGGCAGTAGGACTTAAATATTCCTGAGGCCTGAAGGTACTGTCACCCTTTAAACAGCATCAAAGCACCAAAATTACCTGAAGGCTAGGCCCAAGCCTACTGGCTGGTTTGGCCAGTCCCGCTGCTATTTGCAAATCAAGTATGAGTTCAGTGAAAGGGAAAGCCTTATTGCCAGGGGGATACAGAGACAAAACCCCACATTTTACAGACAAACCAGACATAGACAAATCCCTTTTCAAATTGTTTAGAATATTTGAGGGATACCTTTTACCGCTTGCCTTTCCTTCTGGCTGTTATACAGGTTTGTACACCCTGGAAGTAACACCTGTTTCCTCCAGGTTTAGTGTATGCACGTGCAGCAAATTAAGGATAGAGTTTACTAGATAACTAAAACCTGCTCATTTGCAGTTGCAGCTCACGTTAAAAAGACGACTGATGCACGCAAATACCATTTTAGTTACAGTGTTTGGTAGCAATGGTGAAGCTGTGAGTTTAAGGGGTTTCATAAGGCAAATGGTCTCAGCATTTGGGGTGGGGTGTGGTCTTCACGGAGGGCAGATGTGTCCAGTCGACTCAGCTGGACAGTGCAGGATCTAACCACTAAGGGAGCGCTAACTCAGCACTGTCAGTGCTGTTTCTTTGCCTGTTCTTTTCCAAACGTGACTGAAAACCCAAAACATGACTATTTGTGTTTTGAGAAGTCAGGACCACACAGACGAGTCAGCTGTCTGTATTCCTGTCCGTTTAATTATAACCTGTTTCAACAGAACCTTCTTGCAGCTTTGAGTGTTGGTTTTGACCATTTCATGCAATGAACTGTTGTATGCAGTATGGCAGTCCAGAAGTGACTGCATTTAGGACAAACGAATTGAATCAGGTATGTGTGTGCATGCTATTCTGTAGCTTGTAACTCAGCTAAGAATGGACTCATACAGTAACCAGTGGGAAATACCAAGGTTTGGGTAGTTACTATTAATTTGATTAGTTTCCGAGAGGTGGCAAACTAATATGGCACATGGATATTCATTTTCAGTTTCTTAGACATTGTTTTTATTCTGTTTATATGGCCGTGGATCTTTTATTCAGGTTGTGAGGCTGCTGTTCATACATCTGCAAATTTTAGCTGAGTGAGCAACGCTAGCCAAACTGTGCTAGATCAAACCTCCAAACAAGGTGTTTTGGCATGTGGAGATGTTTTACTATCAGGGTCAGCTTAGAATCCCGTCTGCAGGACTGAGCTGCACATCTCCATATGATTCCCCTGTAATCCCTTGGATAAGAATGTGTATTTACTGTGGAGCCCCAAAGAGCTTAGTCAGAGCCAAAGGTTTCCAACCTGCTAGATGCTGTGCAGACCTACACTCACTCTTTTGGTCTCTCAGGATCACCCCATCTTTCCCTTTATTTTTCCTTCAGGTTTTATTAAGTCATGTCTTCCTTTGACTCCCAGTGGAGTTTGCATACTTCAGGGCAGCTGGATGGGATGGGATGGGGTGGGATAGCAAGCTAAATGCACAGAACAGATACAAGCACAGGCTTGATAGGGACCCTCTTTTCGCATCTCTTCCAGTTTATTACCAGATGTTTTCATGTGGAGGTACTGTTCAGTTTTCCCCTTCCTAGAGCAATTTCTGATGATATAGCCAACTCTATTGCCATGGTTTTTCATGCTACCACAGGGATGGAGCTCTAGCTCTTGAATCTTAGCACGGTGGTGCCACTGTTTCTGCTGAGAGCTTTCTCTTGCAACATGCACTAAAAGATCATAGGTTAAAATAAATTTAAAATATGTTCAAGGGAAAATTCACTACACGTACTTGACTGTCAGGGTTCGGGGAATTTTTTTCCCCCTTTTCTTAATGCTGAGGCATATTAGAGATTTTTATGGTTTTGAGTGTGATCCAGCATTGATACTGTAGCTCTGGAGGAGTGCCAGCAGGGAGGCTTACAGAATATCAAGTTTTATACCATCTTATGTAATGTTTATGCGGGTGGGATATGACATATTGAAATTCAATTTATTGAAATTATTGAAATTATATTTACACTGCCCTGC